GCCGGTCCAAGATGAGGGTGTCAAATTATAACCAGACACCCTGTGATAGAATGATGCCATGAAATAAAATTCTGTTATATACGGATCCTGATAAACCCGGAAAAATTGGTCGATTTAATGTTGATCAAAAAAAAAATCTTATCTAGGGGGCCATGGCCCCCATGGCCCCTCCCTGGATCCGCGCCTGCAGTTATTGTTGGCCAGACAGCGCACAAAGTCTTAAAGACGTCTTCTTTAGGTCTGTATCACGTCTGAACATCTGAAGACCAAAAAAACACTTCTAAAAGACGTTGTTTTGAAGATGTCTATAAGATGTCATAAATTCACATCTTAAAGTCAACTATTTGGTACTGCCAGGCCTAAAAGTGAATAGGGGTTTATGTATTGGAAAAAGATTCAAAGACGTCTTTAAGACATCTCATTGAAGAAGTCTTTAGAATGTCTTAGTCTTAAATACGTCTTTACGCTCACGTCTGAAAGACGTTGGGTTTAGTAACATACGACGTCTCAAAACCGTCTTGATTGTCGTTTGTGGACATCTCAGGAACGTCTCGAAGATGTCCACAAAAATTTCCCACAGAATTAATTTCTCATTCAATTTTGAAGTTACTGAAAACCATTTAGAATGCTACAGAACACTTTAGAATTAGTCTTTTGGAAAGTTCAAAACACTTGAAATTCGATTCAGAATTTCCAAAAGCATCCTATGCAGCGCTTCATAACATTTTAGAAATTTCAGAACCATTTTAGAATACTCCAAATAAACTTTGAAAAACCGATTTACAATTTCTAAAACCATTTTAGAACAATTCAGGAGTTTGAAACCCATTTTAGGATGCATCAAAACACTCAAACACTCTAGAATCTCCAGAAACATTTTGAAAAGTGCCAGAATCTTAGGATTTAGGTTAAAAGTTACAAAACGCATTTAATAAACTAATAAACATCTGAAACAGTTTAAATCCAATTCATAATCTCAATCTCCAGGAGCATTTTGGAACAATTGAGAAACTTCAGAGTTATTAGGATTCAATTTTGAACTGGAAACCTTTTAGAACTGTTTTGAAGCAATTACGAACCCTTTGAGTTTTCAATAGGGCTCTAAAATACTTTTAAGTCTGTCAGAAAAACTCCTAGAATGCTCCAGAACTTTTCAAGCCAAGTTAGAACACTTTAGAACTTCAATAAGTCATTCAGAATGTTCTAAAACACTTTCCAGCATAATTTTGGAAGGCTTCAGAACAATTTGAAAACCTTAGAATCAGAGAGCCTAGCGCCTGGAATAGGCAAACATTGAAAGTTATGAAATTGATAATAATAAGGAAATATTAGCAAGAAAATACAGCTACATAGCTTCTAGAGATCAACTGGCTTGCCTACTGGTTAGAAAATAAGAGGCTAGGTCAGGACGTTGGAGATAACCTAAACTGGAGATTTCAGACGACATCTCTATTTCATTGACTGTATAAAATCTCAATATTCGCAGCAGTTACCTCTAAGCCAACGTTTCTTTCGCTGGAAAAATTGACCAGCCATTCTTTGTTAGAAGTCATATTGTGACGAAGCACCAGAGTTAACATACCACTTTTGTTGATTTTTTAGTTGACAGTCTAATGCGGTAATGAAAACTCCATTCTCAACGGTTGACTTGTTCTGTTTACCTATACTTTTTATTTTGGCTTAAAGAGGAAGGTTCATTTGCTTTTGTAGAATTTTGCTTATAGTGTCCACATAACGAGATTCCCAACACCAGAACTTCTCTCCTTTCGCATTATTAGCTTTATTTTTTTTAGTCCACAAAGCTTTGATTGAATTGTGTTTATCATTCTCTCACTTTATATGTTGGATTTGATTAAATCACTGGTGATTTGTGCACCAGAGTATCCAATCGCCATCACCACACGATCAGCTTTCTGGCAATCCTTGAAGTATCATACCTTCCAGAAATGCATTATAAACGGCTTTAGTTATGGCGTGGTTTTGAGAAACTGTCATAGACTCATTAAGGTAATCTTCCATTTTGGAGAAATTCCCTAACCCTAATACTGCATAAGGTTCGGAGTCACTGATTGTTCGATTAATGGCCGTTTGCATCGACCATTTTAAGGAAGGCTTAACGATAAGTATTCCTTAAAGTGACATTTTTACACGTAAAACTGTCATTTTAAGGTATACCTATCGTTAAGCCTCCCTTAAAACGGTCGGTGCAAACGGCCATGAGACCTTTATCTTCGTAAGCTCCTTTTAAATTATTGCAAGCATCAACAGCTTACGTGAGGATAACAGCAAGATTGAACCATCAAACAAATCTTTGTGTACAAGCTTTTTTCTTGTTTACCGTATCGCCTTCTGGATCGTCATTTATAAGTATAAACCCAAAATGTACAGAGAAACTTCTGAGCTGATATATTAGGAAAAACTACTTTCTTCAATAATAAAAGTAATGACACGTCGTTTGTATTTTGCTTTCTAAACTTTTTGCAGTTAGTGTACAAGTTGAACCTAAAACCCTAACTACTACAGAAGGCAAATTCTTGTCTATTGTGTGATTCAAATATCAGATGCATATAGTCAACCAGCATAAACCTTGTGTAAAGTTAATCAAAATCGATATTCATTAAAACCACATCGGCTCGACAGTTAAGCCACCCACATATTATAAAATCAGAAACAACCAAAAAAAAAAAAGAACGAAAAGCATATTCACGGTAGAGTCACGTAGAGTCATGCTGGGCACGCAACAAACCATTAACGATTGTCGTATATCTGCATAATCGACGGCTGCGCCCCCCTTTAAAATAAATTATTAATTGGCATACGTCGCGCCTGATTAGTGGTACCCATTTCGATCTTCAGATTTATGATTCGTTTTACGGCGAACTATCAATCACCGCAACGGCTACAACCGCCGTACGTGCCCTTTTGCTTTGTGCACATTCTAGTGGTTTTGATTGATACGTAAGGCTGTCATTAAAACTGAAAACTGCTCATATCGTATTCAAGAAAAATATACGAATAATAATAAATAACCATACAATGCGTTTTCCTGTCCCGTATCATACGTATGTATAACTTGGTGTCTTTACATTCATATTAATGTGTTTCTTGAAGTAGGTATCCTTTTGTGCAGGAGCGTAGATAAGAGAGAAACCTCTATTCTAAATTATAAATTTAAAGATGCTTCATGCTATGTCAACCAGTGCCAACAAATAGGTTCAATCTTTTCGCATTTAATATCTGACACTGTTGACAGTTATTCTTCATTCCAAATCAAAGACAACTTCAACAGAGTATATTAATTTATCCTTTTTGTATTCGATGTCTGACTAGTCTGAATTAGTGATGAAGCACATATTGAGATAGTTCATGGTTGCTGTATCTAAATAAACTGGGCTAATCACAATATTATAATTATTGGCCTATAACGTTCTAGGTTTTCTGATTCATACAGTTTTTATAAAATTCTCAAGAATTTACAAGTCTCTTCAATATGGGCGTTTTTAAGCAATACCTCACAATTCCCATGTCCAAAAAAAGTTTGAGAATATTACATTTTTCCAGGAGCATCATTTTCAAACATGGAACAAAAATTGAAGTGCTCCATTCGTCTGGCCAGACACCGGAGGACTAAAGTTTCTGACATATACGATGTAAAAAATGTAGGACGTCATCATCCATCGGCAGGAAGGGCATCAATGATCAATCCCACTGTCACTTTACCGGCTTCGCATTTTCCACTTCCGAAAAAAGTATATCCGGCTCGCGTTCGTAAATGAACAAAGGAGCATGAATGTTAACATCGGAATAAAGGTTCTCACAACATGTATCTCAATGACTTTGTCCAAGCTAATGATCAGATGTCCATCGGCGTTCTCAACTGACCAAGTTTTGGGTTTAAAGTCCCGACATCTGTTCTGTATAAGCGTGGGTGTGTATCTCCCTGCATAATTCCTGATGAAAAGAGTTCTTATCTTGACGTCAGAGCCTTTGGATTTCACGTGTTAATTGTCTATTATACCGCTCGTGCTTTGCCTCATAATGATAAGGTATACAAGGGCTCAAATAAAACCCAAAAATCCAATAGGGAACCTACTCCGAAGTCAAAATTTGAATCATAGATAAAATACATTAATGTATAGGTAGGTATTTATTTTGTTTTATAGATGGATTAAAGAAACTATTTTTCTAACAATATAGAGCAAATACATTCCGCAAATTGCAAATCATCAACAACAAAGGTCTAACATTTACAAATTATTGTTAATAAAACTTTGAAGACATTTTTTTTTTTTGACATGTACCATATTTAAATAAATTACAACCCTTACCCAACGTGAACTTTTTACTTTTTTTTTTCGATAGTTTATTATTCATGAGGCAAACTTACATAACAGTAGTTTACTAGCCGCGAATATATTACAATAAAGTTTATACATTTCGATAAAATCCTATATCAGAACTGTTCAATAATTTATGGAAATGTGTACTTTCCGATACCTACAATATAATATAAGAATAAAATCAAATAAGTAAGTTTGAGGAAAAGGTATATGTATGGATAATGGAGGGCTTCGGGTTTTTTTTACTTGGAAAAAACGTGAGCCGGGTATCGAAACAGTTTTCAATTCTAATAATATGTTATTTGGATTTTGATATTATAATGTACCCGGATTTGAAATTGATACGTGTTCCTAGTTCGGATTCTGATTATTAAAATGTTCATGTATTAAGACTAATACATACTTATTTTATAAGACTTTGAAAAGAAATCGAGTTAATTGGAACTAATCAATAAGTAGTTTTTTTTTATTCGGAACTAGTTTGGGTTAGTCTTGAAAACGAAGCGACTATTCTTTAATGATATTTTTGAAGTTTGAACATTTGCACTTTCTCACAACAATATAAAATATTTCATATTTTTCCTTTGAAATTCTCACACTTTAAAGGAAAACGCCATTGAATCTTCATAAGGAACTATAGGATTGGAAACAAAAACTTACCTGTATGAATATACGTGTGTTTTTTCATGTCGGATTTTTGATGAAATCGTTTTCCACAATATTGGCAAGGGTAGGGCCTGGTATCTGAGTGAATTAACAGGTGTGTCGATAGTGTTGAGGATCTTTTGAAGGACTTTCCACATTGTTGGCACTAGAACAAGAATAACAAATAAAATATTATGATTAGAAATCGAGGAAAACTTAAGATTACATTGTCAATAATTGAACTAAATAGTTGAAAATAACAGATCTCAAACAATAAGTCTTCAATGTATACATGGATGTCCAACTTTAAACTTCAACAATATCTTATCTATACATGGTGTTTTCCAATTGAATGTCAATATTTAGGGGGGCGATCTTTGAATTCATTTCAAGAAGAAAACTTCATATGAATGTAAGTCCTAAACGTCTTAACTTTTGTGATACAGGGTAGATTGTTGATTGTGATGGTTGGGGTGTTTAGGTTATGGACCTCTCCGCACTGCGACCTGATTAGATTTATTGTGCTTCCCCTTATATCTAGTGGATTCCCAGATTAAGGCTTTTGGCAAAGCCTATTATGTTCTTGGGATTGGCTTCTTTCAAATCCACAGTCTACAATACAATATAGAGCTCTTAATAAGATATTCATGCTTTTCTAAATTATCACAGCTTTTTATACACACAAGTAACTCATTATATTGCATTAGTCCTTTATAATATAGGGAGTCTTTATCTACATTAGAACTGACTCTTGACAGATAAAAATTATTTCTTGAACGAGTGTAGTGTTCATGTACATCCCTAACAAACTTACAGTTACTAATAATAAATGATCTGGTAATATATTATTTAACATTTTAAATATAAATATTATGTTATTAGAAGTCTGCCTAACACCTAGTAACTTAGTTGAACTCAACATGTAAGTTCTTCTAGTATACCGGTTAAGCCTAGTATAATCCGCATAGCTTTAATGATTTTTTTATGAAGTGGGTCCAGTTGTGACATATTCATTAGAAACAGCAATGTGGAGCAAAAATAGAAAGGTAGTCTGAAATATACGCTCTTATGAGAAATCATGAGGGCAAGGTTCACGATCACAAGATTTAAGAAGACGTTCGAAATAGGGCTTCGCGAGACCACAAGACTAGTCTTGGTCTTGTCTTGGTCTTGATAGCAAGACTAAGACCAAGACCGAGACCAAGACCTGATAAATCTTCTCAAGACCAAGACTTGACGTTCAAGACCAAGACCAAGACCAAGACCAAGACTCTCTCTCACGACTCTCGCCTTGGCCTTGGTCTTGAAAAGAAAAATCGACTCAATATTTATAAAAATATGCAAATTCTTATATCTTCTCTTAATGTCTTTTAATCAAATCAATTCATCAAATTTATTATTTTTTGAACTTCACGAGAAGGTATTATAGGTTTTAAAAATACATATATACAACCAGAACACATCGATATTTTCCTATCCGTACATAATACAATACCTAAGTAGGTATTGGAATTTCCAAAGATAATTCTTAACTAACTAGCTAACCCAAACTATAACACAAACCCCACATCTCACACAAACTAATGAAGTATGTGACTATGTGAGGGTTCTCGAAAATCTTTCTCTGGCCTGAATGCTCAGGTAGGTAAGGTAGGTTTAATCTATGGTTCAAAAAGAAATTTATTTTTTTCCTCGGTACAGAATGGCAATTTTATGATGTGTTTGTCAACTTTCCTGTTCCGTTAATAAAAATTATAATTTAAGAATTGATGTTTGTTTGTTCCTCTGTGTTGTGGAATGTTTTATGCGGTATTTTTTGACATAAAACTCTTGGTGGTAAATAGCTTGTGAAGAAGACCAAATGCATGGTCGAAACGTCGGCATAATTTTTTCAGAAAGGGAGGTTTATTTTTTTATTTTTGAAGTCCTAAACCCATTATCTCTGCTCTGTCGTTGCATGTTATGTATATTTTAAAAATTTGGTATAAATTTTTTTCAAGACTATCAAGACCAAGACCAAGACTATCAAGATCAAGACCAAGACCAAGACTGAGCCAGTCTTATCTTGGTCTTGAAACATCAAGACCAAGACCAATACCAAGACCGCATTTATTTTTCGAGACAAAGACCAAGACTGGCCAGTCTTGGTCTTGGTCTTGGTCTTGCGAAGCCCTAGTTCGAAATGCGTGATCGAAAACGTTCCAAATCTCCTGATAATACCTCTAACAGACGTTCTAAATTGCGGTGCTCTCGTTCCATAACACGCAAGAATGATTCAACAAAACGTTCAGAATCACCTGTTAGCAGAACTGTTAGAACATACACGCCAGAATCAAGGAAACGTGCAGAACTGGATCATCCAACTTCAGGAAATTAAGTAAGGTCTCGAGTTGTAGGGGCTCAGGTGTCTAACAGCAACGTGACTGCAACGTCAGCTACAGATCCCTATATGTCGAATTCTTCTGGAGAAAACAATTTTGAAACAACACAGGAACGAATTCAAAGGTTGAAGAATATGGTCGAACAATTAACTAGACAAACACAATCAATTGGAAATAGATCTGAAGTTGCCTAGATTAACTTTTGAAAGTGATTGAATACCTGTATTCTCTCCAGAAAACGATAATTTGACTTCACGACGATGACTTTTCAAGATTGATCAATTAAGATCCATCATTAACCGTTGAGACGATATTACAAAAATTTACCACATGCAGTCAAGATTCGTGGGCATGGCAAAAACATGTTACCACAGTTTACATAACTACAGCTTAACTTGAGAAGAATGGAAAACTCTTCTTAAACGTAGTTTTCCAGACCATACTGACTATGCTACTCTTTTGCAAACAATGCTGAATCGGAAGAAAATGGTATCTGAATCAATGACATCGTACTATTTTTCAAAGATGGAACTCCTAAGAAGCTGCCGCGTTTCTGGAAAAGAAGCAGTTTTTTGCCTTATACATGGGATAGATGATCCAGTTATTCAAAATAGTGCCAGAGCTGGACGTTACCGAAACCCAGAAAACCTATACGAAAAATACTGGTCAGCACTAAATATTGATGTTTATCCAAAACAAAAAGAACAAGCTGCTAAAAGGTTCTTCAGACTTAAGAAACCACATAAGAAATAAGCAGAATAAATTTGAAACACAGTGTTTCAATTGTGGTCAACGGGGGCATAAAGATTCGAAATGTTCAAAGCCCAGGAAGGAATGTAGAAAATGTAAGTTATTGGGACACGAAGAAAAGAATTACCCAAAGCAAAACTTCTACAAACCTGGTAAACCTATTTTTAATATAGAAACTGCTCAAAATAATTGTGAGACAAATAATGTTACTCTATCGATTGCTTTATAAATCAAAATATTTTACGTGGATATGTCGATTCCGGCAGTAGTATCGTTACTTTACGTGCATCTCACGTCAAAGCTTTAGGGTTACAACCGCATTCTATACAGAAACGTCTGAGTGGATATGCAGGAGGTTCTTCAATTTTAAACCATAAAGTTGTCATTGATCTAACTGTTGATCTGGCTACAGCAAAAATCGAAACTCTTAGTATACCCGACACGTGGAGCTCAGGTTAGGCTTTTTAATTCGAATAATATGCCACTTCCAGAACTTGATAATTTGTCTCCTCGTACAGTTTTTTTACGGGCGAAGGAGACTACTGTCATACCACCCAACCATATTGGTCACATTTCCATATATTCTAGTGAAAATTTCAAAGAGGTATTTAATAATTTGCAACAAAGGCCGTGGCCTAATCAGTTTCATGTGATACCTTGTTGTATCACCGATCTGTCGAAGAGTGGACAGAATATTCGGTTTGTTATGAAAAAGATTGAGTAGTAGCACGAGGGTTATTGTGTAATCCTGAAAGTGATTTTGATGAAATAAATGTTTGTTCCATAAATCAAGAATCTATGAAAGAGTTTTCTTTAGAAGATTTAGAAAATGTGATACAGGCACAAAAATGCAACTTTTTTCTTTGCTTAATAAAAAGAGAGACTGTTTTGCTACAAGTATGTCTGAACTATAGGGAAGACTCATATTGCTGAAATTTGCATTGATCTGAATGACAAAACATCTGTTACTTATCGACCATATCGTTTAGCCTTCGCTGAGCGGGAAAAAGTTAAAGACATACCTAGTTCGAGAATTACTTGACAATAATATCATCAGGGAATCTTCTTCTCCTTATGCCAGTCTAATTTTATTGGTCCGCAGAGAGAACGGCGAATCGCGTATGTGCGTAGATTATCGTGCTTTGAACGCTAAAACTATTAAGGATAAATATCCCCTGCCGCACATTGATGATTTACTGGATGGGCTCAGCTCAAAGGTGCTCGATACTTTACTAACTTTACTAGTTTAGATCTTGCTTCTGGATATCATCAGGTAACCCCCGATGGCCATTACGAGTATGTAACTATGCCATTTGATCTCGTTAATGCACCTGCAATCTTTCAGAGGGCAATTCATAAAATTCTAGGTTTTTTACCTTAGCTATGGCATATACTTAGATGATATTTTGATACCGTCAACGGACGAAACAAATGGATTCACGAATTTAGAAAACATTCTAAAACTCCTACGTGAAGCCAATATGACATTAAGTTTTAATAAAAGTAGATTTCTCTTGAGTCAAATAAGTTATCTGGGACATGAAATCTCCTATGAAGGAATCAAACCTGGATCCGAAAAGATTGAATCTGTATGAGATTTTCCAACACCGACAGATGTACATACAATCTGACAGTTCGTAGGACTCGCCAGTTATTTTCGCAAGTATATTAAAGAATTTGTGCTTATTGCGAAACTTATTACCGATTTAACAAAGAAATGCGCTTCTTTCAATTGGCAGACCGAACAGTAGAATGCATTTATAGATCTTAAAGAGAAACTTATCACGCTGTTACGGAGCTTCACACTGACGCTAGTAAGCTTGGTATTGGTGGGATATTACTACTACCACAAAACAAGAAAAGGTCTATACCACTCATACGAACTTGAGACTCTAGCTGTTGTTTGTAGTATGAAGAAATTTTGTGTGTATCTGTCTATCTGATAGGAATTGAATTCAAAGTAGTCACTGATTGTAACGTCCTTAGGACTGCGTTGAAAAGCGTTGGGTGTTAGCTGCGCAATTAAATGACAAAC